AGGATTAGAAGCCAGCACCCAGTAAGCTAAATCACCTCATCGATGTTTTAAGGTTAGCTCCCAGTTGTGTTTAGGGAAACTGACATATCTTTCTCCCATGGAGGAGCTGACTGGTGGATTTGAATTCCTGAACTTTTAGTTAGCACCAAAGTGCTTTACCCGTCTCACCACACGGCTCTTTTTGATTACACTGAAGTATTTAAATCCCATGATATCTCTGTCCAGGAAAGTGTCTATTCTGTGGGTTATAGACCTTGCATTCCCCAAGTTCGCCTCCTCAGCTGTTCCCCTTTCCTCTCTATTCTTTGTCAGCTTTATTTTATCATCTCATTTTCAGATTCATCTTCACCACCATGAATTTTATTTAATAATAGCTTAGTTAAGTGACTTAAGAACATCTTGCATTTCTATTTTTCACTATCCAATTTTTAAAATTATTACAGCTTGTACTGTGGATGTAGTATAAAGACCAGAGGGTTGTTCAGACTTCACTTTCCATTAGCTGTATAAAAGTTATAGCTTGAATTGTGTCCCCTAAAAATATATGTGAAAGTCCTAACCCTTGCAAGGGTGAGGTGACTGAAAAATGCAGAAGACGAAGCGAAGTGGTTCTCATGATTTAACCAGTTGCCACTGGGGCTTTTTCAGCTCATGATGGCTCTATATGTGTGAGCATAGAACTACTTCTTAAGTTTTTCAGGCCTAATTTTTTGTTGTCGCTGTTGTTGTTTTTGTTTGTTTGGGTTTTTAAATTTTTTTTATTAATTTTAATGAAAGTTTACAGAGACTTAGGGTTTCCATTCACTCATTGTTGCACTTTTCTCCTTGCCCATCTCTCCCCTCAATTCAGTCTTCTCTTTGAAAAGTAAAAGAAAAATTTTTTCATTGTTATACAATCCCTCCCCCCAAGTCCACTCCACTATACAGCCTTCGTTCTGGACTCATGTCATGACAATCATGTTTAATAAAATAGACCTTTTAAACAGTTCTTTCCCTCATCTGTTTCAGTGCAGTATACATTATTTATCCCCTCTTTCTCAGTCTTCCCTCAACCCTGATGTCTGTCCTGTTTTACAACAGAGGCACTATGCAGTATTTGTCCTTTGTGACTGAGATATTTCACTCAGCATAATGTCCTCCAGGGTCACCCATTTTCTATAATATTTCTTGAGTTCCTTGTTTCTGAGTCAGGCCTAATTTTTTATAAGAGCGCCAGACCTTTCTTCCACATGCCTCTCCATACACTCAAGCCTGCAACCTTCCAGCTACCTCTGGTTTTGCTTAGAGAATCTATACGGCATGTTAGACTCGAGAGCCTGACTGCTAAAGAAGAACCTAGATAAGTTTTGCAGTGACTGTCCTGGGAAATGGATGGTAACAAGAATATGAAATAATTAAAACTATTAAGTAATGGTTCTAACCTCTACTGTTGAATAACTCAGCTTTTAGTTTCCTTTAGTTGTTATGTGGGGGAGTTCTGGTGGCATATTGGTGAAGGTGTTGCACTGCCAACCCAAAAGCAAGCAGTTCGAATCTACCAGTCTCATCCTGTGTGGTTTATAGCCTGTGAAAACCCATTGGAAGGTCAGCTATGAGTTGGTTCTAACTTGACAGCACCTAACAACCACCACAGCGGTTGTTAAAGGAACGTCAAATTGTATGAAATCACTAGGTATAAAAGATACAATGTAGACTGAAACTCAGCTGCTACCTGCAGGAGTTATGATGGTCTCACAGCCCAAGTACCCACCTCACTTCGCCATATTATAAATTAGCTGTGTTATTGTTTGTTCAATCATTTCCTTTAAATCATCTCTTTTCCTATTTTATATATGAAAATAAAAAGGTGATACATTATTCCATTACTTCCCGTTATATTTTTTAACCACACAGTTGACATTTGACAGTTTACCCTTATCCCACTAAAGTAATCCTGTACCTCATCAGTAGAATACCTGCCACAGCTGGGGAGAGGAAGGATGGTCAATTGGCAGACTTTGTTAGGATGTTTTAAAGAAGAGGCTTTTCCATCTCAGAATAACTCTAAATGACCTCGCTGTTTTATTCAGGCAGGTCAGTTTTGATGGCCTGATCTGAATAAAATGGATAAAGCTGGACACCTCTTTGCTTGACAATGATAAAATGATGCTATTTGAATACCAAGGAGTTTGAGTCTTAACTTCAGAGCCTTCCAAACTAATCTCATCTGGGGGGCGAAATCCAACTAAAATGCCATCAATTAACAGGAGATTTGTCAGCTGCCCTGCTTATACTTTTCATATAAAACATAAAGGTTGGCAGATTATAGATGAAAGGTCAGTTCAGCCAAAAAGAATATATGTCAGGCAATTTCATAACACAGGTAACAGGACCAAAGCTGGAAACTGCTTTTAGATTCTCAGAAGGAGATGAGTTTACTGGTGGTATATAAATACCATCACAATTTCTGGACTGTTCATTTTGGTGGCTACTTCTGTGTGCTGCGTATCTAAAAATCTCATTTCAAGGACACTGAAGAAACCTGTCGTCCTGAGGAAGATTCACAGCACTTTTCCTTAAAAAAAAAAACTGTTCCAAAGAGCAATCAGTGTACTTCCTTTGCCATCTCCCAGTTTTGTTCATGCTTTTCCCTTACCAGAGCCAAGTTGTCTTACTATAACACTGGTGCAGAATGAAGGGATTTACAATGAGCCCATCATCATGAGTGATTAAAGGGAAGCAGGATATACACTAGCATGATTTGTAAAAGTAGACTTGCTCATAGTTTGCACACAGGACTTGCCTTGAACTGGAGTACTGTCCAGGAAAATGTTCAAGTCATCATGGCTTTGGGAGCACAGGTGAATGTGGAGGTGCAAAATGAGGCTGGTGAGGACATCCCTCAAATGTCTGTGTGTGCAGTGTTGGGATTTTGCAGCTCTGTGTATAATAGGTTTCACCTGCCTTAATAGTGCAGAGAATTGTGCAAACTGTCATCAGCATTCAATACAAGTAGCCTGCAACATATATCACACACTTCATTGCCTTATACGAGTGCCAAGTCTAAACTCCCTTAAAAATTCATTTGGGGAAGGATTTCTGTTTTCTTTGAGCATCCCAGCCTGTTGTTATATGCTATTGAGTTGAGATCAACTTGTAGCTGATGCTTCAGTGGGTTTCCAGGAGCTGTAAATCGTATGAGAGGAGATTGCCCATTTTTCTCTCCTGCAAAGCATCAGGTGTATTTGAACCACGTGCCTTCTGCATTGGCAGCGTAACACCACCTTCACTAGGTCATCGAGCAACTGTTGAGCCAGTTTTGACAGCAGCCCTGTCTGTGTATATCATGAAGAAACCCTGTCCAGTTTTGTGCCGTCCTTGAAACTATTGCTGTATTTGAACCCATTGTTTCAGCTGCTGTGTCCATTTCACTGAAGGTCATCCTCTTTCTGCTGATTCTGCTTTTACTAAGTATGATGTCCGTCTTCAGGGACTGCTCCTTCTTGATGACATGCCCAAAGTGCACGAGGTGCCTTCTTACCATCTTGACTTCTAGGGAGCTTTCTGTCTACATCTTCTAAAACAGATGAGTTTGTTCTCACAGTCCATGACCTGTTCACTATTTTTTTTTTTCTTCCATCCTCAGTATTAACACGTTGCTGCAAATGGCGGTAATACCAAAAAAAAATTGTGTTTGTAAGCACAGTTGTCAATTTAAAAGTGTGCGGCAACAACAACATTTGGAATGCCCAGCTGAAATAGGGGTGGATTTCATATATTTTGGCCCTTCATGGTGTAATCTTGGTGGTTTGCATTGCAAAAATCCAAGTGGACCAATGACAAAATGTGGACTCAGGAAAAAAAAAAAAGTATATGTATTTTTCCCATTAAGCTTCATCAGTTAAATCATTGACTCTGCCTTGCTGGTAAGGACCAGTTCTTACAAGTGTATCCAATTTCCTGCTAGTGATATCTTTAATTCTTCCTGGAACAGCAGGAAACATTAATTTTGCATTAGATCCCAGAGTTTCAGGAAGCAAGAATTACAGACACTGTTGTCCACACCCCTTTACCCATCCCCACCTCCCCCCACCCTGCCCAAAAAAAGAAAAGAATTGACCATCAACCTAGCAGTGAAGCTTGAGGGATGAGAAGTGACAGAGTAGAGGAAAAGGCATTCATTTCAGGATGGGGACAACTGCCCAGCACTATCTCCCTTTGGATTTTGGTTCTTATAACTACACAATGAGTTATTAATATGTATGATCTGCACTTTATTCAAACATTATAAATCTATGCAGAAGTCTGATGTTTGGATTTTCCTTTATAGCTTTCATTCTTCTTCCCAGAATTATCTCATTTCGATCGGGAAACTTGCATAAAAAGCGCACACCGAGAACTCCCATTTCCATACCATAAATATTAAAAGAGGGTTAAGCTTTACAGTTTCTTCTCCCCTCCCAATGGGAAAAAAGTTAGCCTTCTAATCAGGGCCTATTAATAGTGTTCCATCTATTCTTAAGCTAAAAGGTAAACTCACAATTTGCCTTGCAATATAAAGTTACACTGTGTGATTCCTTTCGTGGATGTAATTGCGGAAGGCTTGGCGACATAAAGTCTTTCTGTAGAAAACTAGAGGAAGAAGCCAGCAGTTGTTTTGAGTTGTTAAGAATTGTGGGCCAGCTTATTTTTTTCAAGACCAAACCAATTGCAAACCTTTTTGAAGCAACCTTGAGTAAAGTGGTTTTTTTCCTAGCTGTTTACAAGGTGTGAGTTTGTAACACATCATCTGAGTAGCTTCTCACCACATAGCAGCATTCTCTCTCCTGCCTAGTATTGTGTTGCTTGTTGGCATAAAGGAGTAGTCATAAATATGGTTTCACTTGGAGATACAGAGAAATGCCTGAGCTATTGCATTTCCATGGCTGCTTGCGAATCATGCAGTCTCACCTGTTGTACTTGGTGATGGGAAATAAACATGCTAATTGGTACTGACTTTTTCTTCTCTTTTCTTTTTTCAGGAAACCTGCCATATGAATATAAAATAGTGATTGCTGGGAATCATGAACTGACATTTGATAAGGAATTCATGGCAGACCTTGTTAAACAGGACTACTACCGTTTCCCCTCTGTGTCCAAATTGAAACCAGAGGACTTTGACAATGTTCAGTCCCTCCTGACAAACAGTATTTACTTACAAGATTCGGAGGTAACCGTGAAGGGATTCAGGATATACGGTGCACCTTGGTAAGTGCTAATTCAAATATTCCCTTCTGGGTTTTCCTTTCTTTCAGCTCAGCAGGAAGAAAAATACCTTAAATGAAAATGATTAGAGTAGAAAGAAACCTTATTGCTGTCTCTTCCAATCACCTACATATTCTGATGCTGTTGCAAAATATAGAATCTATCATTTCAGTTGTGAGAAAGAGTCTGTTGGGAAGCCAATACGAGTAGCATGTTCCTCTGTGTCTGTGTGTTTATGTGACAAGGTCGGCACATATATCCGGGTGACACAAAGTTTTTGGACGAAGGTGTTTGCTCATGCTAATCCTTCATTCAGACTGGGCCTTAGGTAACCTATTTCTCTGTCATTTCCCCCTAAAAGCAATCATAAAGTAGCTCACATAGATCAGTTTCTCCAATCTTGTGTATTAGAATCTGAATTGTATAAGCAGCTCTCTGCATATCCAGATTTCAAAGGCCCATTCCCTGAGACTGTTTCTCCTGCCTGCAATGGAACCCATCAGTCTGAGATTTTGAAGGTTCTCCAGATAAGGCTGACACACAGACAGTTTGGAAATGACTGGGGGGACATCCAGGACTCGGGGAACATCAAGAACTGGACTTCTCAGAAATGAGCTTCAGCAAGTGCCGTGCAGGTGCACAGCACTGGAACCAGACAGGACACATTTGATTCATAGTTCTGTCAGTCTTCAGTTGTCTAGTTTGGAAGAAATAAGTTCCCCGATTCCAAACCTCAGTTTCTACATCTTTGTGATGGTGAACACGATACCTGCTTTAGGAGGTTACGATGAGGAATAAGTTATGTAAAGCTTGCAGTGTATTTAATCTAGTAGGTTGTTTATAATGATCATGATCATATTAGATCATATTTTGGATCTGGCAGTAGGGAATTTTTCTGTGAATTGGGCCAAATAATTTAGCCTTTTAGACCTAGTTTCTGTACCTGAAAAATGGGAATGTTAATTATATATATATCTTCAATGTCAGAGTTGGCTAATATTATAATATATTGTGGTTTCTTTTTTTTTTCTTTTCTTTTTCTTGAAAGCTCTCTGTGTGTATAGACCCAAAGAACTATCTTTTCCCTTAGCCAACAAAAAAATCCCAGGAGGATTAGACTAGGACATGAAGAAGACAGAGAGAGGGTTTTGCAATTGACAACCTCGTGGTCTCACATGTTGTAGGGAGTTGAGACATTCTTTGTAAATTTTTCTGTTCTTGCTAGTTAGTAAACAGAAGGACTAGTGAGTAAATACAAGAGTATGTTTCCATTTAAAAATTTACCTGATAATGATAGTGAACCAAATTTCTTGTTAATATGGCAGGCAAGTTCTAAATCCTTTCTACCTATTAGTTCATTTAATACTCAGCGTACCTTTAGGAAATAGAAATTATCCTGATTTCCATTTATCAGATAATGAGATTCTGGTATAAAGACGCTAAGTGACTGCCAAACAATTGCATACATAGTAGGACGGTTTCATTGTTTGAATAGAGAACGTTTGACTTTTGAGTATATGTTATGATTAAGAAGTGATAGCGTGGTAGCCTCTGGAAACTCTGTGAGCTTTGATAAATGTCGCTAGTTGTAGAGTGGCTTCAAGCCTTTTGTTCATAGAGTCACTATGAGTTGTGTTCGACTTGAAGGCATTTAAACAGCAACAACAAGTGTAGTAGCTCATCATTATCTTCAGATCACTCTTCAGTTCAGCTTGATGAATGTGGTTTCTTTATGTGGAAAGGAGTAAGGGACAAGAGAATGAAGAACAAAAATTAGCAAGGCCTAGAAAGTCACCAGTAACATCAGTCATTCACTTCTTAGAAAAACTAATAAGAAGAGCATTTGCCAAAGGTTAGAGCCCTGGACAGAAAGGGGTAGGATAGAAGGATTAATTGAAATGAGTGTTACAGGGTGGAAGTGGGGAAAGCATGATTACCTTGTGGGTATTGTCATTAATGTAATAAAGTGTGAATGAATGGTTGAATAAAAGACCAATATATTTTGTAAACTTCCACTCAAATCACAATTTTTTTTTAAAAAAAAGACAGCTATAATTTCATTTCTTGAAATTATTACTGAAAACTCTTTTCAGGGATAATGTCAGTCTTGATATTAGCATCTCTGGGTAATGAGCCAGGGAGAGAGAACATCTCCAGCTTCCCAGGCCACCTTGTAATGAAGAGGCAGTAGTTGGCGCATGACCTCTAATTGGCAGAGAAAGTAGAAAGTTATATGTAACTTATGATCATTTCTTTTTCAAAGACCTTAAGATGATTTTTGAAAAATCTTCAAAGGGCATGGAATATTTATGACTAGTCCTTGACAGGCAGGGTTTTCTGAGATCAGTGGACAGATAGTTGAAATGATGACAACAGATGAACTTCCTCCTTTCTCTGAGCAGATTCAGGTCTATTCTTGGTAGGGCTTAGCTAAACCAGACTGTAGGTCATATGAATTGGAAGAGGGGTAGTCATCTTGGATCCTGATTCAGTCCTCCAGCATCTCAGGAAGTTGTGATGTGACCTGATCCATTTATATTGCTGGTGCAAACTGTAGAAAGAGTTTATATCTGAATTTGATTGAGTCATGCCCTATTTTTTAAAAATTTTAATATTACAAAGAATGGTCAAGTCAAGGAAATGGGCAAGATTAATGAGCCTTCTCAAATATTATTGCAAAGTTGTTTTTACAGTTAGATCACACTGTGAAGATATTTTGTTGAATATTCTCAGGACAGCTTGTGAACTGAACATTGATTTAGCAATTCCTGAACTAGGTTTTCTGTTCTGGGAGGACAGTATTGCACTGCTTGACTATTATGTTGCTCTGAACCTTGAGAGTTTTTTAATCTTTCCATGCCTTTGTTTTGTCATCTGTAAAATGGGAACAGACTACACTGATTCCCTCACAGGGCAGTTGTTGTTTTGTCCTGTTGAGTTAGAACCAACTCATAGCAGACTCTCCAGAAGTATTCCAGAGGCTGAAAATTGCACAGAAGGAGATTGTCCATCTTTATCCTCTGGTGAAGCTGGAGGATTCCAACTATGTGCCCTTGGGTTGATAGTGCAACTCCTCACTTACTAGGCCACCAGAGCATGCACAGGTCTGGTAGGAGAATTAAATGCTTTAATGCATCAACAGGGATCTCTGGTGACATAGTGGGTAAGAAGTTGCACAGTCAAACCAAATGAAGGTGGTTCGAATCTACCAGCTGCTCCACACGAGAAAGATGGGCAGTTGCCTCCCGTGTGGTTTACAACCTCTCAAAACCCAGTGAAGGGTCAGCTGCGGGTTGGTTCCATCTTATTGGCAAGGAGAGAGACAAAATATGCATCAACAGCATATAGATGTATTCCAGTATAAAGAAAGCAAGTGTGAGCTGTTAATTCTAATAATCCAGTTGTGCTTGCAGCCTGCTTTATACCTGCCAACATTCAGGAGACAGTGGGAACTATTTCTAATGGTTTCTACTGATTGTGATGGACTTGGCAATTCTCTTGAATTCTTCCCCCAACTATCCCTTTTGTAAAAAGAAGTCTTGAGGTCTTCTCCTAGGTATCTGTTGCATGTCGCTCATTCAAATAACCACTGAAATGCATATCTTCAAAGGGCATACCTATTTATGAGAATTTTTTCCCCTTATAGTATTATTAAACTCCATAGATTACCACTAGAAAATTGACTAGAAGCAAAATTTAAGAGAACTGACAATATAGCATTTTCTCCTCTCAAAGGTTAGGAATTTCTCCATCCCTGAAATTCACTCATGTATGAATTCCTTTTTATTGACCTGGGAGATATTGCAACACCAAAATATTGAAGTTACATTTGATTTCCATATTTTCCTACTTTTTTGAGGGGATATGCTACATTCTCACTCACTAGTATTGACAGTGGTTTCAATTTAAACACAAGGAACAAAAATAAGAGCTCTGATACTAAGGATTTCTATCTTTCAAAGGTAGTTTTAAAAATATCGATTGTGACTTACTCTAACTGCAGGGGAAAAAAATTCTGGTCCATGTGTTCCAGTTATTCATAGCTTGTTGTAGTGTCAAAAGCTTTCCCAAGACCAGAGAGAATAAACAGAGTCTCCAGAGTCTACAGTTTAGCAAAGTTTTGTGTGTGGAACATAACTTAGAACCCAGCAGAGCTTTCATGTGTGTTTGCAATTGCTGGGATACTTGCTCAATCTTTAGGAAAGTCCTTTAGGGAAGAGACTTGAATGTGGTCTGTCTGGCACATTAAGTAGCATAAATGAAAATTTGCTTTTTAGGATGCTATATTCTAGAAGAAGTAGAGCTCTTGGAAGAGAGTACGAGTTAATTTCCCAGAGTACCCCTGCCTGTCACCACTGCCAGCATCAGAGTAGAACTCTGCTCCAAAGGGTTTTCAGTGGCTCGTTTTTGTTTAGGAGTAGATCTCCAAGCCTTCTCCCAAGGCACACTGGGTGAACTTGAACCCCCAACCTTTCAGTTAGTAGCTGAATGCTTTACCATTTGGGTCACCTAGGAACTACAGTTCTGCCTCACAAGGTCTTACACAAGGTTTCATGGCTTCTATTTATATTCCTTTACCCTCTTATTCTCCTGAGAATCTTGAAAAAAGAATCAGGCATGGTGCATTCTCTCCTTTGGGAGGTGCAATTCAATCCAACAACGGCTTAGTGTGAAGTCTCTTTCTAGCAGATTTTTGGGTTTTGTTTTTGTTTTCCTTTTCTCTCTGTTTTTAGGGGACAGAAGACAAGATTGTTGGTTTTGAGTCAGCCTTGGATTTTGCTTTAAGAGACAAGAAAGCTCGTGGCTTTCTTGCACGTGTAGCGTTCGTTCCCTTCTCTCAAAATGATTCCTATTTCTGCCATTGTGACCCGCTCATCTGTGAAATGGGTTCCAGAGGTTAAGTGTGGATAGGAAGCTCTCCTGGTACAGTCCCTAAGGGCCTGTCCTGCTTACTCAGAGGCTAAGCCTCTCTAGTGGTTCGAATCCACCAGTGATTCAGAAAG